CGGATAAAACTGCGAACCTGCAAATACCGGGAACAATTGTTTTGGGGCATTGAAAACTTATCTGAGAGCTGTTGAAAGGATGCAAAAACATCATCTATATATAAATCTTTAAACGTAGATATCCCGAAAACATCAACTTCGCGCTGTGGATCGCCGGATCGGCTCTGTGTTTGCAGCGAAGTTTTCAGGCCCCTACACTGTTGAACGAAAACTGAGTGACACTGATTATGTGATTGCCACCCCAGATCGCCAAAGACATAAACGTGTCTGTCATGTAAATATGTTGAAACGATATTTGAATCGAGGAGACAAAACCTACTCCGCTACTGCAAGTGTTGCCCCTGTAGCTGCTGCCAGTTACTGTCTTGTCGAGGATGGCTTGATAGAAAAAGTTCCTGTCAGCTCATGTAGAAGGCTTAAAATTCAGTGATTCTGCAAGACTTGCCTAACACTCTTTCCTATCTGACAGACTGCCAGCGTAAAGAACTTCTGCAGCTGATAGACAAGTACCCTTCACTGTTTGTTGATGTGCCAGGCAGAGCTTCAGTGCGGACCCATGATATTGATGTGGGTGACTCTCCGCCAATTAAACAAAATACATATAGAGTTAACCCAAATAAACGTGCAGTAATGGAGGAGATTCAGTACATGTTGCGTCATGATATTGCCATACCCAGTCAAAGCCTGTGGAGTTCCCCCTGTTTACTTGTTCCAAAGCCAGACTCATCTTTTAGTTTCTGCACAGACTACCGCAAGGTGAATAGTCACCAAAGCAGATTCATTTCCGTTGCCACGAGTGGAGGATTGTGTAGACGGGGTGGACTCCGCTAACTTTGTATCGAAGTTAGACCCCCTTAAGGGGGGGGTCCCTCTCACTCCCCGTGTCTCTGAAATTTCCTCGTTTGTGATCCCAGATCATTTTATGCAGTACAAGGTTCTAGCGTTCGGGATGCGAAATGCCCCCGCTAACTTTCAACGCCTGATGCAGAGGGTCCTGGCAGGTGTCACAAATTGCGAGGTCTACATAGATGTTGTTGTCTATTCAAGTACATGGGAAGAACATGTTAAAGTACTTGAGAGTGTGTTCAGTAAGTTGGCTGCAGCTTCGATGACTTTAAATGCTGCCAAATGTGAGTTCGGAAAGGCAGTAGTCAAAGTGGAGGCTATCCTACAGTTCCCTACCCCCAGCAATAAACGTGAATTGCGCCGATTTCTAGGTATGGCAGGTTACTACCGGGGATTTTGCAGGAACTTCTCTTCAGTAGTTTCCCCACTTACTGATCTTTTTAAGCAGTAGCCGAAAGTTCATCTGGGACCGTGACTGTTCACTAGCTTTTGATGCAGTGAAGGACCTGTTGTGTAATGCTCCTGTACTCTCTGCCCTTAATTTTTAAAAGTAGTTCACACTGCAGGTGGATGCCAGATCGCCAAAGACATAAACGCTATCCTACAGTTCCCTACCCCCAGCAATAAACGTGAATTGCGCCGATTTCTAGGTATGGCAGGCTACTATCGGGGATTTTGCAGGAACTTCTCTTCAGTAGTTTCCCCACTTACTGATCTTTTTAAGCAGTAGCCGAAAGTTCATCTGGGACTGTGACTGTTCACTAGCTTTTGATGCAGTGAAGGACCTGTTGTGTAATGCTCCTGTACTCTCTGCCCTTAATTTTTAAAAGTAGTTCACACTGCAGGTGGATGCCCAGATCGCCAAAGACATAAACGCGTCTGTCATGTAAATATGTTGAAACGATATTTGAATCGAGGAGACAAAACCTACTCCGCTACTGCAAGTGTTGCCCCTGTAGCTGCTGCCAGTTATTGTCTTGTCGAGGATGGCTTGATAGAAAAAGTTCCTGCCACACTGCAGGTGGATGCCAGTGCCACAGGGGCGGGTGCAGTGTTATTGCAAGAAGATGAACATGGTGTTGATCATCCAGTCTCCTATTTTTCAAAGAAGTTTATGTCCTATTAGAGGCGCTATAGTACTCTTGCAAAGATTTATCCCGTCGCAGCTAAGGAACCAGAGCCGTGTCCGTCCATGGCTGTTCCCCTTGAATTGACCACAAAACGCCAGAGGTTGGTCTCCAGTGTGGAGGATCCCCCGCTGAGATCGGTGCGAGCGGCTGGTGTGTCCGTGTTCTCAGCGCTGGTAACTGACTACGGAGGTCGTTTGTGAGCTCACTGACTGTCCTGTCACGGCTATGGAGGCCGCCTTTGAACTCATTTCCTGTCCTGTCATGGCTATAGAGGCCGTTTGTGAGCTCTTTACCTGTCCTGTCACGGCTATGGAGGCCGTCTGTGAATTCACTGCTCGTCCTGTCACGGCTATGGAGGCCGTTTGTGAACTCACTTCCCATCCTGTCACGGCTATGGAGGCCGTTTATGAGCTCTTTGCCTGTCCTGTCATGGCTAAGGAGGCCGAGTATGAACTTTTTCGCCTGTTCATTTGTGGATAAAAAGACTAGTTATGAAGCTGTGTTCCCTTTTGTCCCACCCAACCTCCCTCTCCCTACCCCTCTGCCTGTCATGCTCTTCGTTCTGTCTCCGCTGTTCTCTGTCTGTCCCTCAGGTCATCCGTCAAGGGTGGCTAGCGGTCAGGATTTGCTTCGGGACATACAGCCTCCAGCTGCACCAGGGTTGGAGGATCCCAGATCTCTGGTTCCGGCCTTCGAGGCCTGGACTCCACTTCGGTCCTCCAATCCTTTGATGTCGCCTTGGCTCAAAGCTCCCTTGTCTCCACCGTGGTCCGTCAGTCCACCAGCTCCGCCGGGCTTCCTCGTCCCGTCAGCTCCGCCTTGGTCATTCGTCGACCCGCCCTCGCCTCAGGACTACACTCCTCCGGCTTTGCCTCGTCCCTCCG